CACCTGCTATTGCATTTGAAGCAGGTTTGATATTATTTCATGAATTATATGAAGATGTTCATGTTATATTATTATGTATATATCTACGGAAGTAGGTACTATAATAGGTCACATATATTCGTGAGATATATGGTATCGAAAAATATATATTATTCCCGCCAGTGATCTGCTCTCAGATTGAATATCAATTTAGGAAATAGACGAGTGATAGCTTGAATATCGAAAAAGGAAAAATATCATTGTTACAATCATTCTTCCACAAAAATTCTTTCTTCCAGTGTCTGGTTTCAATATTTGGGGAAGTATTCTCTCATGCGGCGTTGTTTGCATCCTTTATACAACTTTTGTAAGTACTTTAAACTATTTTATATATGCCATTACATCTTTTGACCAGTCGTATTAACTTTTTTAACCCATTATTAACTTTGAAAAAAAAAATGTTAAAAAACAGAGACAAAGCAATGAGACCCGGGAAATCGAATAAAAACTCACTATATGTAATGGATACGAAAAGTGTTTTGTAGTTAAGAGAAAAACAATTACAACATGACTCCAACAACAATTTCACACAAAAAGCTATTTCTTCATTTTAAAATACGATCTTCAGCCATTGATCACTAAGTCAAATCCAAAAGAATATTATTTCAGGGTGGATTCAAAGGAATCATATGGACGGATGTGTTTCAATCATTCGTTATTGTGATTGGTGTCGTAGCTGTCGTTATTAGAGGTGTTATGATAAATGGAGGATTTGCAGAAATTTGGAATGCCGCCTATGAAGGAGGAAGAATCGATTTTGTGCAGTGAGTGTATTCATACAATGCTATTGTTACCGTATATTGATTGGAATATCGTAATGCAGCATTTCAGTCATAACAATTGTGGAGCAGTGGACAGTAGACCACCTGTGCGGAGATAATATGGTTAGCAGTACCAGGATTCGTTCAGAATTGATAATTTATCTCACCCTAGAGATAACGATAGACCGACAAGAATAGCGCATAATTATGCTCGGCTTATCGCATGGTGTGGCCAACCTCCTATTTACAAAGAAAATCCCGAAAAAACATCTCAGATATGTTGACTTATTGTTTACCTACTCTTTTTTTAATATATTTATAGTGCTAGCGCCAAAGCACATAGCGACCGTATTGAAAGCTGCATTTACCAGCAGGTAATTGTCATTTAAGTTTTCTCGAAACCGCCTAAGTAATCTTAATTAAAAATTAATAATAATTTAGGCGTGCGAATCAAATGAATCTTACATAGATTTAATCAAAATTCGAAGCGTAACCAATTTTTTTACAAATATACATTTATATATATTTCATTATTCAAGTTTCGAAACTGATGTTCGGATTCGACATACATTTTGGTCAGTAGTCATAGACACTTTCATAATTGGAACAGCTGGGTACGGATCATCTCAAGCAGCAGTTCAGAGATTTATGAGTTGCAAAAGTCTGAAAGATTCACAAACGTAAGTATATTAGCAAAACTCAAGAGTTTTGATAAGAGCCTGTTCAGGCCAGTAGTTTAGTAGACAGATCAAAATGCCAAGTACTTCACAAAAAGTATAAGGAACTTGTGGAATCGGCTCCACAAAAGCAGATTTCTTAGTCGATCAAAAAAAGACTACACTCAAATCTTGTTTATGATTATACGCGACTTTGATGAAATATTTTGACATGGCCCCCTTGGGCTCTTGTTATTTGCTAAATTGATTGGTTTACGCTGCGAAGGCAACAATAACGATTCAATTAAATGATGATGATTATTGTATCGATCTTCAGGTCCGATTTTATTTTACTGGAAAAAACAAAAAGTAATGTAATTTATCTGTTATATATATAAATCAGAATACTTTAGCTTCGTGCAATACTATATACAAATTTGAAGTTAAAATATAGAACAATACAGACCACAAAAAGAATAATTGATTGATTTTTGTTCTTGCAAACGGGTTTTCGGTGATTCAATTTAATTGACTATGTTCACATACTTGAAACAGCAATATTTTACCGTTCCGTTTCCTCGTGGTTTTAAAAATGTAGCTAAAATATATGAATAATTTGTGAAAACACTTATATTTAGTACTGCATTAGTAAACGTCGTTGGCCATGTTTTATTGTACGGAATATCGTTGTTATTGGGAATCGTTGCGTACGCACATTACCAAGGATGTGATCCGCTTGAACAAGGATGTATCAGCAAAATTGATCAGGTTTGTACATTTTTTCGTTGGAATATAGTGTTATAAACACATATTATTTTTAACTTAAATTGAGCATACCGGTATGCTCAAACTTCACAACCTACTAAAATATTTGTTATTACTGGCATTTCAAAACCACCTAATCTAACGGTGTTTTAAAAGTACCATGTACTAGGCTAAATACAAATTGAACATTGATTCTGGTAGCTGAACGTGTAAAATCATTGAATAAAAATTATTGCGCAGATTTTTAAACGACACAATGATGCACGCTATCAGATAAAACAAATTGACTTAAACATAGTTGAATAAAATCGATTTTTTTGACACAAAGTAAAATGACTGAAAAGAATTCCAAAAGCATGAAATTCTTGAATTTCTTTCATATCATTCTACAAACAGCTATCGCATATTACTTTCAGCCCAAAATAAAGTAATCATTCTCTTTTAATCAGATTATCCCACTGCTTGTGATGGATGTATATCACAACTATTACGGAATACCCGGGTTGTTCCTAGCCTGCATTTTTGCTGCTACCTTAAGGTAAGTCATGCTTTAGTTTCGAAAATAAAAATAATTCCAATGAAAACACTCGTGTATATTTGAAATCGGAAGCCCGTTTCAAACTTCTGCAAATTGAGCCAATTGTACCACAGACATATATATATATAAAGAATGTGTTTTTTGAGGCTTTAGATAGCCCGAGTTCATTTTGTTTTGTAGTACGATTTCATCAACGATGAATGCATTGGCATCAGCAGCAATGGATAATATTGTCACACCTTACACAAGATTTAGCGAGCGAACTCAATTTTATGTCTCTAAAGGTAAATGTAACCTCATGTTAATCAAATAGCAATTTACATCGAGGTTAATGACGTTCTTCTAGTATGAAAAGGGGAAGTTTAAAAAATAACAGCGGATAACAAAGACTAGATTTTACCACTTTGTTTTTGTTTTTAATAAATTCCAGCTAACCTTCAAAGTTGGATGAATTATTTCAAGTTTTTACGTTTAGGAATGGTATTTTTCTTCGGAGTTGTTTGCATCGGGATCGCAGCATTGATGACGAACGCACTTGAATTATTTGAAGCAGCTCGAAGCTTACTTTCTATCACCATGGGACCATTATTAGGATTATTTACTTTAGGAATGCAATTTCCATTCGTAAACTGGAAGGTATAGTTCAATTACTTAATTGATAACCATTTATTTATACTATAATGAACCGACATTGTTGTCATTGTGATAAGCACATTCGCAGCAAACAGAGCGCTTACGAGGCCCATTTTTCCAAATAATAAAGAAAAACATTATTAAGTTGGAAGGAAAATAAGATATTAATATGGTATTCACTTCCGAAACCATTTTTTTTGGCAATTGAATATAGAAAGTTGAAATACTCAATATATTTAGCTTCGCAAACCCTCTTTTGTAGGGAGCTTCCGGTGGTGTGATCTGTGGTATTGCATCAGGAGCCTGGCTCTATTTAGGAAGGAAAAGCATCACACAGTCGAACGATTTTGTGCGAGTAATGGATGTTACTACAGATCAATGCAATTTCACATGCAACGGAGAAGAGATAGTAACTAACTACACTACTCTTGGGTACTGGACAACACCAGTCGATGCAACCACAATTCCAGAAATTTATGATGACGATGTCCCGTTCTATACACTCTCTTATCGATACATCGGCGCTACTGGTCTTATCGTTTCCATAATCAGCGGTTGTATTATTAGTCTTTTAACCGGTAAGGGAAAGTACTTTCATACAGTAGATAAAACTCACCAAATATTACATTTGTTTCCGCCAATTTGACAAGCCTTAGTGTCAAGAAACATATATCTCGAAACTAAATTTCAATGAACATAGGCGTGACGTTCTAACGAAAAATTTAGAAGAAAAGTCTTGCATCGAAATTCGATGTTTGGCAGCTAATAACTAAATTTTTTCTATACCCAGGTGGATGGGGAGATCGCCACAAGGTAAATCCGAAGTTATTGAGACCACTTTTCGATCTCTGGATTTTCAGAATATGGATTCCGGAAAAAGTCAGAAAGTTTCTACGATTTGGGATTGAATGGAGTGAAGATGGCAACGATGATAAGTTTGGAACAAAATCAGAAAAATATAGAACGGTAAGTACTATATAAACTCTTGATAACTATGAATGCAGTCTATTCAGTATTATACGTAAAAAAATTTTCCATGGGCTCTGTTGAAACTTTCTTTTTAATAGCGTGAGATCTGTAGTGCAGTCAGCTATCCTATGACTAAATATATAATTCAATTTAATGTCAAATTTCCATTTAAGTACATCCAGTTTTATACAATATACCCATGCAAAAGCATTTTTTACAGGATTAAAATTTAAAAATGCACTATACTCCTAAAACATGCACTGAAGTGTAAAAAACCTACCCACGGGATGCATTTCTTTTAAAATGAATATCACTAAACTGATTACGTTCGCACTAAAATGTAGGAATTGGGATATGCTATTTCGGACATGACAGCCTATGCTTTATATAAAAAGGCTCTATGAATTTTGGAATAAATGCCATATCTTT